GGACTTGCCAGAACGGAGGAAGAGGTATACCAGCCGTAGGAGAGAGGAAGAGGAGGATAGACACACATGTCCATGTGGCAAATCGGAGGAGAGTAGACCCCACATAGTTGGGGAGTGTGAGTTGTACAGGAAGGAAAGAGAGGATCTCGAGGAGGAAATGAGACAGAGAGGGTGTGACATGGACAAGTTTGGTAAATTAGACAACAGCGAAAAAACGATCGCGATAATTGGGGATAGATGGTGGACACAAGAGGCCCTAGAGGACGGGGATAAGATGTGCAAGAAATTTTTATGGAGTTTGTGGCAGAAACGTAAAGAGCTCCCAAATGTTGGTGGTGTCTCTAGTAGGTGTAGGAACGGTGCTCCGTCTCGAAAGGGACGCGTGGTCAATGGTCAAATGACTACGGCAAGCAACAAATGAGTACGCCCCCCCCCCCCCCCGCCGTAAAGTCTGCGACAAATTTGTTTGTTTTCATTTTTCGGGCTTTTGTATGCTGTTGCCTACCCTTACAAGTTGCTTGCCGTTGCCGTCATCACTCCAACGTTTGTGTCTTCAGGTGGTGGCGAAGCCGCGGGATTTCGTGTACCAGACGGTGGATTGCTTCACCAGGCCCGGGTCGGTCCAGATGGTGCACGAGGAGGAGGCGACGGTGTTGAGGGGTAAGTGACAGCAACCCACAACGACAACGGGCCTGGCACGTTCTTTTTTCGTCGTGCACGCACAAGCAAGAGCAATAGTAGTTGAAGTTTCCGGTGCGTATCGACGATATGTATGATCTGGCACGCTCTTTCTTCGTCGTGCACGCACAACCAAGAGCCAAGAGTGCAGAATTTGCCGGGTTTTGTCGATGAATACGTAATTTGCTGGAAATGCGTGTGCGCGTTGAGCGTGCCGCGGGGTGGTGACTTCTCGCTGCTCATCGGGACCCCGCCGCAGCGGGAAACCGCAGCATCATCGCGGGATTCCATTACCGTACCGTGGCCGCGCGAACACCATCACCCACCGGGCGAGTACCGCAGACCAATCGTTGATGGGCCACAGACCAACCGCTACAACGACACACCAATTGATTGTGTTTGGTAGGACCCCCCCAACACCATGAGAACAACAACCTTGGGGACCTTGTTGTTGTCCCCCTCCTTTTCTCGCGATCGTGTTGGCCGGCACGACGGCGGACGGGCCGTGTGGGAACGATGGGGCATGACAAAAAAATAAAAACACACACACACAGAGTACGAGCGGGTCCGATCGCTGGAGAAGCGGGGCCTCTTCGACTTCGAGGTGGTGTGCCCCACGCCCCTGCCCACGGCCGCCGTGGTGGTGGTCGACCCGTTCTCGTCCGGCTCCATCCTGGCCGCGCGGGTGCTGCACTGCAAGCTGCGCCTCGTCATGGTGTTTTCGGAGGTAAAACGAATTACGGTTGTGTGTTGTGTTAGCATCGACCGCGCGCTAACCGGCTGACGAATGAGAACGCCCCCGTCGTGTGTTTGTGTTTAGCCCCGGCTGTGATTGTAGCGCCGGTCTACGCCCGTACCTTTCGGTGTACATGTGTTTAGCGTATGTATCTGCCGAGAAAATACAGGCGAGGATGGTCATACAGGAGCTTTTTCTTATTTTTCTGGTACAGCAGTGGTTTGTGGACCCGAGGTTTTTCTGCCGATGTTCACCCACGCTGGTCGCCCACAGCAGGACGGCGTTTTTATGTTTTTCGTGGTTGTCTCTGTGCCCCCTCCCGTGTCGTGGGGGGGGGGTCGGGGGGGGGGGGCGCTTGGGGGGGTGTTTTTCCTAAACCAAGAGCTGCCCGCCCCAAACCCCACGGG